TGGCGCTGTATACAATATTGTTAAATGAAATAAGACACGAAAACATCTGTTTAAAATGTGTTTAATATTTTCCGAAACGTGTTACAAAGCATGTTCAATGTAGCGTCCAGCTTTTTCCGAAAGCAAGTTAAATCATGTTACTGCATTCTCAACAGCAGCTCTTAGCATATCAGGTTTGGTTTTGGTTTGGTTTATTAGATTACGGCAAAGCACTCGAGGGCTATCTGCCTTAAGGGAGGGGTGCCTTCGTGGAGGACTTTTTAAGGGAAACTGGCTCGTATACACGTTACACATAGCATATCAGGAGGAATGTTATCAGTGTATCACATTTTTCATTTCTGCCAAATTGTTTAGATTATCACCATAAACAGTGCTTTTGAGATAACCTCATAGACAAAAGTCACAGAGGTTGAGGTTGGTGGGAAGAGGGGAAGTGTTGGCCTATAAGACGTTCATTCGTGAAATGTTGCTTAAGTAACTATGCGACACTCTTGAGGTGGTGCCCAGCCCTGCATAAAAATCGTAGTATCTAAAATGCCAACGTTACTGCAGTTCATGTATCACGAAACATTTTAATATTGGCTCTAAGTGAGCTGCAATCGCAGTGATCCAGCTGTCGACTGCTCTTCAGAAAAAAATGGTTCAGTTATAAAACTAGCTGTCATACAACAGTAAACGGTGTGAAATGACTGTTATGCAATCGAACGCAGTAGGAGAATGCAATGGAACTAGATAGATAACATGAGAAATTTCTTTGGGCCAAATCAATTAAAAGCGTTTTGAATCAGTATCTTTATGTTTTAGGGCCGAATTCAGGCTTCAAAAATTACAAATTAGCGATCTGTAAGAAAACGATTTCCAGATTGTACGCACTTGTGAGAGTGATTTGCGATCTTACATTTTCTAATCGCTAATTCGTGGTTTTCACGGACGAAATTCTCACTTACAGGGATGGCGCACTCGACATTTATCGAATTTAACGTCTTAAAATAATAATTTGCCTACTTCAAAGTTCTTAAGGGTATACAAATATTAAAACCCGTTTAACAAAAGGTTAAGTTAGATTCCGACCATATTTCGTTTAACAATATTGCATACATCGCCATTTCCCCCCCTGGTGGTGAGGTTTTGAACTTCCTTTTTTTCGCGGAAATAAATTCCCATGACCTCCTTTACACGATTTCCAAGTTTGATAACATTTGATCCAGTAGTTTTCCTTTTATGACCGTTTCAATGTGGAACTTAATTATAACCACTCTGCATATTATTAAATTTTAATTTGAAGCTATGCGTTATATGTATACCATGCGTAAAATTTTCGCTTTTATGGAAAAATAAAAAATCGAAGCAAATATACTTAGTATAATGGACCAAAATGAAAACATTTCCCCTCCCTCCGAAAATAAAATATTGAAATTTCGAACTTGAATTTACTGGGTTATCGAAATATTTAATTTGACTTATCTTCTAAGTCCTAGTTCCGACAACAATTCCGTCAAAAATTCCGAATTACTTAAGCTAAAGTAAAAGATTTAGTATATATTCACTGTATGTTAATAAAGTAATCAGAGTGTAATAAAAATAGATTATAGAATTTACGCTGATAACTTTTTGTCTGACTGCACAACATGTAATGGAAGAGAAGGTTTGTAGAGATCTGTTTTTCACATGCCTCTAAAAGTAGATGTCATATCAATTTTGTCTCTTCAATGTCAAAAAACTTTACTTTGAGAGGCAACTTTAGTTTTTGAGAAAGAAAAAAATCACAAGAAGACAAATTTGAAGAACATGCAGGACGATTGAATATACATACTTATTTTCCGAACACAAGCGGTTCTCCGACTGGTTATTGAATAATGAAAAGATGCATTGTCATGCAATACATAACATTTGAAATACGTTTTCTGGCTGAATAACGTAAGATTAAAAGTCATCTGCTTAATTCACATCCATTTACAAGTCAACTACTCGGGCAATTGCAGAATCGTTTTGATCCTGAGCTTGTAAGCAAACCTAATATCACTGGATTTAAACAACTTCTTTAATCTTCCGAGAACGTTCCTTCTTTAGCTCATATTCCAGAATATTAAGTGAATACAATTATTGCCAAAGAAATTGAATATTCATTTGCACTACGGCTTGTAGTTTACTAACGAGTTAACAAAACTTAAATTCTGCTTTTTGTGTCAAAGAATACAACAATATTTTAAATATTTACAATAAAATATAAAATGGAATTTAATTGGAGCCTCATCAGTTGCCTAGCATTTGAAAAAGAAAAGATTGTTAAATACTAATTGTTTGCTGCTCAGTCTAACCCGGCTGCATGGTTGGTTTTGTAGTTTTTTAGGTTTCTCTTTACAAAGATTCTCTATGAAAGCATCTGAATCAAATAGCTCCCATGTTCTTTCTATGTTCAAATAACCAACTAACCTAGTTTAAGCGCGATTTCCAAGTGAAGTTACTAGTAAATCCGAATACTCATTAAAAATCATGTAGCTAGCCAATCGGGGGAGTAACATGAAAGATACGGAACCAATAATTGAAATGTGTTACGGTATGCTGTTTCTGACTTAGATGGTCATTCTTTAATTAAATAGCCACCAACAGCCGAGCGGTAAAGACGCTGAACACTGGTAGTTCGGTTCGAGTTTCGAATCCCGCGAACGGGGCTGGCCGCATGGGCGGTTTCGTAGTTTTCCCCATGTTTAACGTGTATACGAGCCAGTTTCCCTTAGAAAGTCCTCCACGAAGGCATCCCCCCTTTAGGCAGATAGCCCTCGTGTGCTTTGCCATAATTAAATAATCCAATTCAATCCTTAACTAATATAATTGATTTGTAAATTCTACTAGAAATGACGGTAAGAATTGAAGTGGAAATAAGTAATATGGTGTGCAATCTTGATTAATATAAAATTAAAAATATTGCATAGAAATGTTTGCATTCAGACAGAAAGTTTTTTGAAATATTTGCAATTACTTTATAAGAAGGATTTATTAATAACAGTAATAATTACTTATTATATTACTGATGATTAGGATTCAGTTCTTGACAATTACATTCTAAATTAGATTTTAAGGATATAATGAAAATACGCTACGCACAAAAATACATTTTAGGAAAAAATGAGTTGATTTTTTATGTTTTAAAACTTCTTAAATTCATTAGTAAACATCGTATCCTCGTTGTTTATTGAATCCAGAATGTTGGGTCGTTATATAATTATTCCTACTTGTCCACAGAATCTGCTGACTTATCCAGCCATTAAGTAGATGCAGATCATTTTTACATAACCATTGAACTTCCATTATTCAGTCTCTAGAGGGTTGTATTTTATATCATAATTTCACTTTTATAAAAAAGATTATTCTAAATATTATGTTTCTATAAAAATATATTGTGCTTTAAAAATATGGATATAGTTATCAGCCGCTCTTTCAGCCACTCCAAAAGCAACAGTTTTTTAGAAATAAATTATGCAGTTAATGTCATAAATTCAATAAATATCAAACGAAAATTCTCAGTTTTAGACAATTCGTTTAAACGGAGTAAAGTAGCAGACGATAAACGCCGAAGGTAAAAATTTACTCTACAAAAACTTACTCTTAAATTTTTTAAAAAAAGAAAAGATACGAGAGAAATTAAAAATAGTTAAATTTGAAATCATCTATAATTTAAAAAAAAGAGCCTTTCATATAGTATTAATAAATATTTATTACGCATCATTGAGGGAAAAAATGTCATATAATTAATTCTCTGTAAAATTTTACTTGAAGTTTAAGGTAAAAATAGCTGTGGCAATTCAGTGTAACAAAAATCCATAGACCACATTTGGCGTTATTATCGCTCAAAAAAAAGGTGCCAAATTTCAAAACGCGAAATTATGTAAATTCGTGTATATCTTAGAAAATTTTGAGTAAAAAAGTCTAATTTTTTGCAGATATGCTTAAAAATACACCTACTTTAAGATGATGGTAAAAATTTTATAGGTTATAATTCAAAATTTTTTTTCGAAAAATCTATAGAAATTATTTAAAAATAAAAATTTAAAAAATAAAAACGCAAAAAATGGGTAAATTTTATTTGGAATGAACCAAAATTTCGAAATGTGAGAGAAAAAATCAAAAAAGTTTAATAAAAAAAGAGATATTAATAAATATTACCAAATTCAATTAACATTGAGGAGCTAAAAATTTTGAGAGCTAATATTTTAAAAAACTATTCGTACGATTTTTACAAAACTTGGTATTCTGGCATAATTTGAGTCGTAGAATCGAAATATGTAAAAAAAAATTAGTATGTTATTTCAGAAAAAGTCCGATTTTGTGTCAAAATACCTTTGTTAGAATAGTACTATATATATAAATCTAATATATATCCTAAGTCGCGCTTTCGAGACATGAAAAACGTAGTTTGAATTTTGTCAATCGCCCCAGTAGAACGGGAGATATAGCACTGTCCCATTTTTTTTTTTTTTTTTGAGCAGTGTACAATGATGATAACATGATTTATGATCATGAATTGTAAGGATAGCAATGACCTTCATGCATGTACACCCTTATTTCATGATCACATAAAATTACTACGACCATGGGCTACCTTTTTATTGTTAATTTAAAGTTGATTGATGCAGTATGTACCACCTTCTATAATACAGATTTTAAATATATAATTTTAGTTGTAATAAAAGAAATTTGCACATTTTTAATAGGAAAATATTTTGTTGCTCCTTTCTTATGTTCATCTAGAAAATTTTCAGTTTATCAGCTTTTACTTACAGATTTAACAAATAATTTGGTTTGCCTTAACTATTACTCCATTTTTGCCATAATTCTGTTCATCAGTTTTTAACATAAAACGTATGTACAAAACTTAAATAAGTAACAGAAGTTTATATGAATGCTGTTGCTAGTATTTATTCATCATGATTATTACTAATATAACTAAAACTTAGAAAAACTTCCATAAATTAAATAACTAAGATTTGTTATTTTTTTAGGAACTTCAAGATATGCGAAAATCGGGAATGAAATCCTTTCGTGACGTTCATGTAGATGATGCAAATATACTTACATGGCAAGGATTAATTGTTCCTGTAAGTTTTTTCTTTTTAATTTATTTTAATCTGGCATTTGTAATTTGTTTGTTTTGATATATAGGAAATTAATAATTACTCAGCATATAAAAAACATTTACAAACCTTTTGCTAACCTGGACATTAAAAAAAAGGCACATCTTTGGTTAAATTCACCTCAAGCATCCAAACTCAGTAATTGAATGAGGCAAAATCAGAGAAGCATTAGAAATCACCACTAGATTGTATTTCAATAGGCACTTTCTTTTCCATAGACCATGCTGCCAACTTACCCAGTTTCACTGGGAGACTCACGATCTCTCGCATCTCATGGTAGATCATCCGAATCTCCTGGTTTTTAATTTTTAGCCTTCAGTAAGGAAATTATTTTCCAGTAATAAACTAAGTTTATTGAATTAATGAGACTTAAATTATACCAATTTTATTCTTATTCTCCTACTCATAGTGGATTTTCAGCATAATTTTTCTTATGAAATTTTATTTGATCTCAATTGTCTTAATCTACATAGATGTTTATATAATTTTTTATCAAGATTCAAGCAATGTTTAATCGGTTAATGTTTGCCTTTAATTTTGTTTTACATCAATAAATGGTACATTTTATTTTCTTTGTTATTTAAAAGTAGTTTGATAAATTAAAGCTCTACTTCTCTACTCGGGTTTTTCTCAGTATAAGTGTAGAGGAATTATAAAATGAAATTAAGGGTAAAAATATATTTACAGGTGCCCCTTGGCAATATAGGGACACTGAGTTTATACATTTCCTTGACTTGTTATTTTGGCTTTGTGCGTGGCTGCAATTTTTGCACCAAAAATCGCAGCTACTCAAATCCAAAATAACAAGTCAAAGAATTGCACAAACTTGGTATCCGGGTACACATCGATCTATTTTCACTTAAAAAAAAATTGGAGAATTTCACAAAACTAGCTATTGTGCACTCCCCTTGTCATTGTACACCTTGATCTATATTCACTTAAAAAGTCAAAGGAGCAGTTAATAAAAAATATACAAGGTGTTGGGGCAAAAGTCATGGCAACTATTTTTTTCTTGTAGATATGTGAACGGATCACAAAACATATGTTTCGTGTGGAAGTTCAGCAGGATAGTGTGTATGCAGAACAACAGATGGCTCTGTGATAGTGATGGCTCTGAAATCAGTCAGTTGGTGAGTATCGTGCGAGATGGAAGTAACTAGTGTTGAGCAGAGCGCTTACATCAAAATAGCCATTCTCCGAGGGAGAAATGAGATGGAATGTCACAGTGAATTAGTAGAAGCTCTTGGGAATAAGGCCCTACTATATTATACAGTAGCACAGTGGGTAGGAAAGTTTCAGCAAGGACGTGTGTCAACCAGTGATGAGCAACGTTCGGGACGATCGGTGAATGTGTGGACAGACTTGGCACGTGCCGTCATTGAGCACCTCGTGAATGAAGACAGACAATGGACGTTACTGGAGTTAGAGAGGGCAAGTGACATCGAGAAATGCACCGTCCACAGGATATTGCATAATGAGCTACAGCTACGCAAAATCGCTTTGCAGTGGGTACCGCATGCACTGACGGAAGTTCAAAGGTGGGTGTGCTGTGCAATATTCTCCGACCAATTCTTGTCACGAATAATCCCCATCAATGAATTTTGGGCCAGGGCATACGAACCAGAACTGAAATGTCAGTCTGCGGAGTGGCAACATCCTGGATCACCAAGGCAGCAGAAGGTCCGTCAGAATCCTTTTCCAGTCAAATAGATGGTGATTGTCGCGTATGGTGTCAGGTGTGTCATTGTTTGCCACTTTGTTCCTCATGGCAGAACAGTGACTACAGGGACTTCCTGGTGAAACAGGTACGACGTGGCGTTCAGGATAAACGTCCGGATCTTGTGGACAGTGTAATAATTCTGCATGACAGTGCAAGACCACATAAAGCAGAATGTGTATGGCAGCTATTGTGACATTGGGGATGGGAAAAATTAGAGCACCCACCGTACTCTCCTGACCTTTCGCCCTGTGACTTTGATCTCATTCCCAAGATAAAGGAACCAATATGTGGTAGGTGGTTTGCAACACGAGAGGACATTGCTAATGCTGTGTGCAAACAGATGACCCGATTCACACATGGTGTGGCAAATGCTGAGGCTGATGGTATTTAGTGCTTCCCACATCGTTGACAGCATGTGGTGACAGTAGCAGGGGACAACATTGAGGGTCCTTTAGGCCCAGGTTTGTCATGTCCACTTTATGTGCATTGTGTTATTCTTTTGCATGGTGAAGGCCATATTGCCTTGTATACTACAGTAATAATTCGTGTGTTACAATATTTCAGTTCTATTCATTGTCCACACATGTAGTTAAGACCTTGTCCTTTCGTCTGTATATGTCACATTTTCCAACCGGACTGGTATCTCCAAGGAAAAAAAAAAAAAAAAATAGTTGCCATGACTTTCGCTTCAACCTATATATAATCTCAGTAAACTACATTTTAAATCAAACAATGAAATAACATAAAAAAGGAAATTCATCTTGGCACTACACAAAGGAAATATCCACTTACCTTAGCTACAAATTTCCCTGTCTTCAGTCAAACAAAATTCCTTAACAGCATTCAAAATTTCTTAAAATTATCTGGACTAGATTCTGTATACTGGCATTGCCGCATAAATTCACAAAAATAAGACTAAAAAATTAGCCTTCGTAGTGCAGGTATCCTCTGACGTTCAATATGCATTTCCTTCCTACAAACAGGACACTTATAATGGCAACTAAGTAAACCTTAAGTTACACTTCAGTCAATTAATGTTTTTTTCCCTTTCATTGGGAATCGTACAGAAACTTCAAAGTAATCTTACAACATTCAACCATTTTACCATGTAAACCACAAAATAACAGCATACCAAAATCCATCCCATCATTTAAATTCACCGCAATCACACAACCTATTATGTCATAATGGGGTTTCCATAGCATTCAACTACTCAGGTTACCATGAATGAAACAACTTGGTGATAAATGAAGCAGGAACTTAGCGATAATCCAAGGGGTGTCGATTAATCTACTCTAACCAAATTAAGTAAAGAACATAAAATTTAGAGAATTTGGCTAAATGTTAGTATATTTTACACCTGAATTGTATTATAAATTGTTGAGTAACCTAAATTGTTAATTATTAAATGAGTTTATGTCAATTTGGATCTCTTTTGAAATGATACCACCATGTAGCACAAAAGCCTCCCAGAAACTCCCAGTTTTGGTCCAAGAACCTCTTGGTTTTTTATATTTTAAGGTTGGCAGCTGTCTGGACATTGGCTCTGAGAATATAGCAAATAATAAAAGGAAACATTTGGTTGAATTGTTTTTCCAGTTCCAGCTGATGAACATGATCATCTGTGAAAGTTCCTGTATTACAACTCTTTAAACGTGATTTTAGCATGTCAAAAAAATGTTTTAACTTTGTTTTTAAAATGTTTTAATTTTTTTATCTAATTGTAAGAATTTATAAATGTAAAAGTTTATTAAATTCATTTATATATAAAGAGAAATAAAAATTCTATACTGTGTTAAACATAGCTGACTGCTGTTAGTTCACATGAGGTTTTGTATATGTTCGGTGCCTGTTTCACTTTATCCCTTTTAGTAGCATGAGTACAAATCAATTTTCCTTGACACTTCTCTACAAAGGCATTCCTGCTGAGGCAGATGTCCTGCTGTACCTTATTATAGATAGTTCATCAGCTAATGAATGTCAGTATTTGTATGTTGAACTTAAATTTTTTTGTGATTAATTTTTTTTAGAATACTGACAATAAAAGGCTTTTTCCCTGTATTTTTTAATGATCCAGTCATGTTATAAACAACTTTTTGGGAAATACGTTTTTCAATATTCTATCAGCTTATATCCTTTTTCGGCTAATCTTTGGAATATGGTAACAGGTAGTTTGGCGACATTTTGGTAAGGCGATAAAGGTTACTAGCTAGGACTTTAGCAGTATACATGGATAAAGTCAAGAGTGTGCGCAATGCCATTTTTGTGCAATTCTGGGATTTTTTTTAAGTGAAAATAGGTCGACGTGTACGTGGATACCGTGTATGTGCAATTCTTAAAAAAGCGACAAGCAGTTTGCGATTCTGCACTTTCTCCCAATTTCGCACCTAATCTTCGTCATGATTAAGAACTTTTGTTCCATAAAAGTTCTAGCATAAAGTGTAATTCGGCTAGCAGATTGTTGGAAAAAAAATGTTGAGTAAAAAAAAAAAAATGCCTTTACTTTGTGAAAACAAAATGGCGTCCAAACAAAAACTAGCAGGTTGCTGTAGCAGGGTTGGCCGCCAAATTTTTGCCAAAAAATCGTTAAGTCACCATAATCCAAAGATTAACCCATTTTTCTTATTTATAGTAATTTTCTATATTGAAGAACAGTATATTTAATAGTAAATTTTTCTTACCTTTATGAGATTTAGAAGGTATAGTTGTATGTCTGTTCCACATGATTCAAGTAAAATGTTATTACATATGCCAGTGCTGCTGACTTCATTAGGTACCTCAATATTTTGAAATAATTTTTGAATAATGTTGCCTTAAGCAAAAATTCTGCAATATTTCTCAGTAAACTTATCTTTCTTTTTTCTGTAACCTGACAAAATGTGGTACCACTAGAAGAGTTGTTTATTAACTGCTTTGTATAACTTTGTTTCTCTGTTTATTAGGATCAGTTCTTGATTTTTTATCCAAATCTACCAATCCAATTTTTGTGGAATTTTTGTGCATCTAAATTTAGTTGGAGTTGAATTATGTATCATTCTTGAACAGTCAGCTTCATATGTAAATTAAAAAATGATCTTCCAAATAAAAAATATTTTGCTTTTGGTAGCTTTTTTTTGGTCCGATTTTTATTTATGTTTTTTAGTCTGTGTTTGCGACACTGATTAAGTGACTGCACTCGAAGATGGTGATTTTATTTTTTCATATTTTAGAGGCTGGAAAGTATAAAATACATAGAAGATGTTTCAGAACAAAATTAAAATTTTGTTTGTTTACGTTCAAAGTGAGAACTAAGCAGTCGCAGATTGTTGGAATTCTATTGTATTTGTGCTTATGAAGTCCATCTTGAAATACTGTCAAACTCCAGGGCTGAAGTTATTTTAACCCACATTGTCACACGTATGAACAGCTTCTTCTTATAGCTGGAATAGAAAGCTTTCATAAAACAAATACTAGGTGTAAGTTTTTTTTTATGTATCAAGTAAGATCATATCAAATCTTATATTTCTGTGTGTAAATACATATAATTAGATTTCTTTAAGATAATTAGATCATAAGCAGTTACGGATTCACTAGAGACTGAATGTTCAAGATTAATGAAAAGTGTATTTAGTTCTCACTGGTTGCATAAAGTTTTCGTTGTTTTTCCAGTGTGTCTTATATGAGCCAGTTTTCATCAGAAAGCTATCTTTAAAACCATTCCATTTAAGGCAGATATCCCTCAAGTAGGTTTTGTGTATTACTCACCCACCTGAATTGTATTCGTCATAGATTTTGCAAACACATGAATGTCACCTTATTAATAGAAAAATTCATTGTCCAAGACCTTGCCATACTGTATGAATTTATCAGTGTACACAGCTGGGCTCATTTCAATAAATTCTGAATTTATATTCATTATTCAGTACTTACTGATTAGCTTACAAAAACTTCTCAGGAAGGGTTTAATGTCAAACCTCAGAGCAGCAGTAAATATGGTTATAAATCAAAAAAAGTAAAAACTGGCAAGTGTAGTTTAAAAAAAAATTAGCTGTCGGAACTTGCTGGTCAAACTGTTTTGCACCTTTCTTAGGTGAAGTTGCTGAAAAAGTACCTATTATGCATTAAGGAAAGAAAAATTAATAGTGTAAAAATTGAATGTGCTTTTAAATATTGAAATAGTACCTCAGAATTTTTCTCAGATAAGGTATGGCATGTCTTTCATAATTTCTTAAATTAGATATTTCTAATTTCACATTAATTGGTAAAATGTATTTACGAATAATTTTTAATGCCTTTATAAGAGAGTTTTTCTGAGTTATCTTGTTATTATTAATGCCTGTTTCTGATGCTGTGTGAATTATTCATACAGAATGGTTATTAAATATAGTTTGCTTTTGAAAATCAAATCATGTATAATGTGCCATATACACTTTTGGATCAATATGCATATAGCGATATATGACAAGTTTTGCAGTCTGGTGATAATCAAACATGGATTGATATTTTAATTTTCTTTTTTCAACTTTGTGTAGGATAATGCACCATATAACAAAGGAGCATTCCGTATTGAAATAAACTTTCCTGCAGAGTATCCTTTCAAGCCTCCTAAGATAACTTTTCGGACAAAAATTTATCATCCCAACATTGATGAAAAAGGTCAAGTATGCTTACCAATTATCAGTACTGAAAACTGGAAACCTGCTACTAAGACAGACCAAGGTAAATTTTGTAGTTTTAAAAAGAAATTTCAGTTCCGTCTTTGTTGACATTTATATTATTGCCAAAGATATTTAATACATTTAGTTTCTTCATAACTGAAATGCCCAAACCAAGTCTTAGTATGATATTTTATGATGTAAGCTTGGTAATTGTTTAAGTAGCTTTTTAGGTAACTGTTATATGCTGTTTCAAATCCTAAATAGAACCAATAGTAAAAATATATTTATGAATGCTCCTGGCGATAATTGCAATTTTTGGCGGTACATGGACACCGCGAATTGCACAAACTCTGTATCCATGTACACATCGACCTATTTTCACTTAAAAAAAAAATCGGAGAATTGCACAAACTAAGCATTGTGCTCCACCTTGACTTTGTTCATGTCCACATGGATCTATATTCACTTAAAAAGTCAAAGGCGCAGCCAACAAAAAATATATAATCTCAATAAACTACATTTTAAATCAAGTAATGAAATAACATAAAAAAGGAAACTCATCGTAGCACTACACAAAGGAAATAGCGTTTTGCCTTATTTATGAATTTACAAGTCTTCAGTCAAACAAAATGCCTTGACAGCATCCAAAATCTTCCTAAAATTATCTGAGCTAGAATCTGTATACTGGCGTCACCACATAAATTCACAGAAATAAGAGTAAAAAATATTCTCCGTAGTGCCGATATCGTTCGACCGTATGCATTTCTTTCCTACAAATAGGACACTTAATAATGGCTACTAAGTAAACCTTCATTTACGCACCTAGTCAATTAATGCTTTTTTCTCTTTCGTTGTAAATTATATAGAACTTATAATTAATCTTACCATATTCAGCCATTTTACTGTGTAAACCTTAAAATAACAACGTACTTTTCGAAAATTCGACGCACACTTTCAATGTCTTTTTCCATGATTCAAATTAACCGCAATCATGCAATCAATTACATCATAATATGGTTTCCATAACATTCAACTACTCAAGTTACCATAAATGAAACATTAACTTGACGATAATCCAAGAGGCACCCGTAAATCTATTCTAACCAAACCAACCAGTTACTGAGAAATGCCTGTAATTCATCCCAGATTCAGTTCCTGTTGATGGAACAAACTGTGACCAAGAAGATTTTGTAATTTTCTCTTATTTTTAGAAATATTTAGTTAGAAAGTTAATATGAAATGGATGTTTTCATATGTTTGATATAGAATTCAGTGTAATCTTTGGATTCATTATAATGGCTTGCATGATACATTTGCAGTTGAAAAGGACAACTATGGCCTGTATATTGTTGCAGACAAAGTATTATTGCAAAGAGTGCTTTCAGAAAGTGGAGTAATACTAAATACAAGAAACTTGGTTCCCTTAAGCACCTCAATGGTTTCCAAAAATTGATCTGAAATGATTAGCCAATGAATTGATACTGATAGGAGGAGTGCAATAGCTCTCAGTTGCTTTATTAAACCATTTTTATGTTAATATTTTGAACAATATCCATTATATATTAATTTCAAAGATATTATTGTAATGTAGAATATCTTGACTGTGTGTTAAAGTATGATCCATTTCATCCAGAAAATGTGAAGTTCATATCAGAGCTGTGAACTAGCTCTTAAATTTTTTTATACCTTTATTCTTAGCAATAAAACTGACAGCATTTGGTTTAACCAGAATAACGAATTCTGTAACATTTTCAAAACTTGAACAATTCTTAAACATTTTCTCTTTAGTCATGTACAAGCATGTGGTATGGTGCTATCACCTAACAGCTGATCATGCATGAGTGCATGGTAAGGTCTATATTAACACTTTGTTTCAATTTAGTTGGTTTCTAGAGACTTTACATATATCTGATATGGCAGTGAATGTGCTAAGAAATGTTAGTTTTTTTATGGTTAATCATTTATTGTAGAAATCAATTTTGTTTATTCTAACTACACATTTTAATTTTATTTTCTTGTGGAGAATATAACTATGTTGAACATTTCTCTCAAATAAGTAATATTTCAAATCTATTTTTCATAGACATATTTATTGTACCAATTTTAGTGCAATATGAAATTTTTTAGAATTTACTTATCAGTATTTTAGTTAGAATTATTAGATATGTTGAAGAATTTTACCTTCATGGTTTGAATATTCTTCTTAAAAAATTGAAAGCTGTTTCATTTTTGCATGTGACAGCATTCTTCATTTATTCAAAACTTGAACATTTCTTAAAACACTTTTTATTACTATCCATGCTTATTATGTAGGAAATGAGTTGATTAGAAATTCGTGCAAAATTTCCGTATCATTGTTAAATTTTAAGTTATAATTACATTTCAGAAGTAAAATTTTGGAAAAAGTATTAGATTAGTAAAATTACTTTTCAGTGCTGAAGCAGTCTACTCTCTCTTTTTGTACTCTAAATCCGTACTTTTCTAATTGGTTAATCAGCAAATTTCAGTTTATATTTTCCAAGCCTAAAAAAATAGCTAGGGTTATATATTATTTTTTATGTATTACTGTAATGTAAGGTTTCAAGTCTAAATTGGGCTTCTCCAAATTCCTGAGGCATACTTATTTTTTCCCCTGCAATTTGATTCATTTCAAATTATGCCTGAATACAAATTTTCTAAAAGTCCTACAGGTAATTTTATGGCAATTTTTATTTGAAATACAATGCCAATTTTCAGTTTGGTGTTAAAAGTAATTTTATCTGGTTAACTTTCAATTTATATGTTAACTCTATTTTTTTCGCCTTAATTCTTTCATGTGACTACTAGAACTTAAAAGCTTGAGCTATTAATTGTGTATTTGATCACAATATGTTTAATATTTTAAAAGTACTTTTTGCTTTTTATTTTTTGTACCTCTTGCTAAAATATCACAAACTGGTTGGTTACTTTGGAGAGCATTTCTAAACTGTGATGACTAATATTTTTGCGAAGCCATTTTCAAAATTGTGGCACACTTCATACAAGAGTATTTAGTCAATAAACTTGGCGGAGGCAAGAAATATTGGTAATAAAACACTCATCTTCTTTTTATATATTCATTATTGATCTTTTGTTGTCACCATGTACACAGCGATCTGTTTTTGCTGAAAAGAAATCAAAGAACGGCAGACTAGGTATCTGCGCAATATGGCATTCTGTACTGGCAAAAACAAATGTGCTACATATTTATGGTGGCTGAAACATGAATACTTTTTGGCAACATTGTGCATTGCCACATAACAGTTTAGGCAACACAGTGCTTTGCATGATGAACACTTTGTAATATTTTGGGGGAGGTGTAGATATTCAGAAAGAACAAATATTTGTAATCCTTACGTTTAATCTGCTTCTGCTGTATTGGAAAATTTACCTTTTACTGCTGTTGTGGAATATTTTATGCAGATGATCTTGTGTTTTATGGAACCATATACAAAATTATACTTTTTGCAAATACTTTGAACCATGCAAAAAAATTTAAGGAGTGTATAAGGATGCATTATTTTTTGAGTAATTGAGATGTGAGAATACTTTATTTTCTGTGGTGCCTGAATTTAAATAAATTTATAGTAGTTTTAATAAAAGTATTGTGACAAAATTGTTGCAGCATTGTGGTTTATTTGACTGAAACCACAACTGATATTTTTAGTCATGTAGTCTTTTTGTAACATCTTGTATAATGCACAACTTTAAATTCAAGTAGCATTATTCCTGTACAGTGTATGTTTATGGAATATATTGTCTGCATGTATGTCATTAGGGAAGTTTTCTGTGAATTAGTTGTTTCTATTTTTGGTACTTCTTTGTTATAGTGGCATGCCAGTATTAAATCGCCTGTCAACCTAGATCTCACCAAAATTTGTCTGTTTGTTCTTATACCTCACCAGATGATAATATATTAGTTACCGGCTGCATGTTCTTATACATCATAATGTAATTGTATATTATCACCGTGTTGCATTTCTGCTGTCATTGCATGTTCTTATATCATTCATTTTTGACGAGGTTTTCGAATTCGCATTGTTTATTTAAAAATATATTCATTGCTCTTTATTTATTTATTTATTTATTTATTTATTTATTTTTTTTTTTTTTTTTTTTTTTTTTTTTTGTGAATATGACATTAACAGTCTTTACCAAGTAATGAGGTGGTTGCTGTATTTTCAAGAAAGAATTTTACCTGACAAACGAGAATGCAGAAATGGTCACAACATGAAATTTTTTGTTAACAACAAAACCATTTGGAGGTGCAGTTATAAAAATTGCAAAAAAAGGTCTTCCATGTTAGAAATTGGTTCAGTGGTTCTAGAATATTTTTTGTGACTGCTATTAGATTTATGTATTCTTGTGCAGAGGAGTTGGCATCCATAAAATTATATAACAAACAGCTAAATATGTCTGAAAGTGCTGCAGTTGGAACAGTTACATGCAATAAACTAATAATAAAGGTGAGGAACACAATTCTTAAAAATATTCTTAGGTAAATATGTGAGTATTATTGTTATTATAAATTGTGTTGTTTATTTTTACATTCGTGCTTCGCAAGCTTGGTGAAATTATAGATGAGATCTGGGCACAAGTCTAAAATCGCCAAACATGTTTAGGGGCTGCTACAAGGAAGAAGTACACTATTTTTTCATATTTAGCATTGCCATTTTCCTTCTGAGGAATTGTGGCATACTAGCCTTCATTATGAGCATCTTATTTCAGATGTTTAATAATTTTAAATAATTGTTAATAAAATCTTGAGGAAACAATGAGTAATTTGCTATGTTTTCTTCTTCAGTTATTAAATATTGAAAAAAAATTACCTTCATGTAATCTGTTAAATTTTTAATCATTTGCATGTTAAAGATTCAGTCACTCAATTATATTTTCTCATAGGCTGTCAGATATGAGCTTTATTGGTAAGGTTACCAGATGTCCGAGATTGACCTGAGCAGTCCTGTATTCCTATTTATATTTGGGGCTGTGTTGTAGTTAAAAGAATGTCTTGGATTTTTAATGAATGAATATTATAATTAA